AGAAGAACTGAACTTCACTAATTAGCAAATCCATAATGTTTTCACTCCTCTAAAGCATTTCCCTCGAGGCTGTTCTGAATCCTGTTGTCAAATATCAGTTAACATACAGAAATGAGATTTCTGTATGTTAACTGATATTTGTTAGGTTTGTTTGTAATGTAACTCTAATTTGATATATGTGTGTGTGTGTGTGTGTGTGTGTGTGTGTGTGTGTGTGTGTGTGTGTGTGTGTGTGTGTGTGTGTGTGTGTGTGTGTGAACCTTTGCTATTCATGTGATTTATCCTTTTAGAAATGGCCCCATTGTGCACACCTCAGCGTGCTTAGGTGTGCACATGCCTTGCATGCGTTCACGTGTTTGTATGTGTGCATGACTTTTTTTTTTGGTGGTGGTGGTTATAGGATGTCACGTTGTCAGACCTCATAACAGGCAGTGAGGAAGGAGGAAACAAGTGAAAGCATGTCCAAATACTGTAAACAGACAGGAAGGAAAGCAGGAAGGGTAATTCAAGTTAAGGTAACTCGAGGTGATGCCAAAAGGAATAAAGAGGTGGTAACAGAGACAGAGAGAGAAAAGATCAAAGGAAAGGACAAGAGGGAGATGCCATTAAAGAAAAGCAAGAGAAGATAAGGAAGGAGCAATGGGAAGAAAATAGGGAAGGAAGAAGGAAAAGGGGAGGAGAAAAGAATAAAAGGGAAGGAGGACAAAAAGTGGGAAAGGATAGGAGCAAGAAGAGGAACTCACAAAGTGAAAGAAGTGAGAAAAACTCAAGAAAAGAAGTTGTCAGTAGAACAAACAAGAAACAAATTCAAAGAATAAAAACAGAGTTAAAGGATTATTGCAGAAGGATGAGGAGAAAAGGTAAGGGGTAAATGAGACGTAAGAACCTGAGGAAGAAAGAGATACAACTGATACAGTACAGGAAAGAAGGAGAAAAGTTGAGGAGGAAGAAAATGAAGAGGGAAGAAATGCAATAAAAGAAAGAAGAGGAGAATTTAGAAGCACAGGGTAAAAGAAAGGAACAAGAAAAGTAGTCTCATATGTAAAGACAGGAAAAGGGAGGAAATGGTACAAGGAAACTGAGGGTATAAAAGGAAGAAAATAGGTACTAGAGAAAAGAAAAGATGAAAAGAAAAACAGAAAGGAAGAGAAGAAGACAAAGGGAGAGTAGGAGAATAAAAGAAATGAAGGAGGAAGAGAAAAGGTGAGGAAGGAAAAGGAAAACATTTTGGCAAGAGAACTAAAGAGGGAAAAGTAGTGGAAAAACTAAACAAGGAAGAAGGAAATGGTAAATGGTGAGAGGGAGAGAGCAGAAGAGGAAAGAAGAGAGGAAAATAAATCTGACACAGTTTCAAGAAAGAAATCAGAAAAAGCAAGAACAAGGCACAGAGGGAAGAAATTAAGCTTCCTGCTTCCTGTTTAAATAAAAGGAAATAGGGAGCAAGAGTAAACAAGAAGGAAAAGATGGAAAAAGTAAAAAATGAACAGCGAGAAGGAGGGGTACGAAGAACCAGAAAGGAAAAAGAGGAAGTAATAGAAGGAAAATGAAAACAAAAGGAACGAGAAAA